TTTGTTTAAATATATTTTTTTAATATGTCAGAAGGTAACTTATGAGATACAAAACAGAACAGCAAAAGGAAAGGACATTATTTACAAAAGGCTTCGACTGCGTCTAGAATCAACACTTATAAAACACGACTATTTAAAAACAACTAATATTTGGGGAGCGTATCACAGGAAAACAACATATTTGGCTATTAGAAATTAAGATCCTTTGGTGGTGAAACACAGGCTCTAACAAATCTTTGTACTGTTAACAATTAAAGCTATTCTGCATCCACCAGCACTACTATTTGACTTAACAACGAAAAAAACATAAAAAACAAATTTCTGAACAGAAAAAGAATGATTTTATTATCAGTTAACGATTACTGTACCAAAATATATGAAGAACATAACAAATCAAAGTAAGCTCAAATTGAGAAACATAATGAAAAGCGAAATGACGTCATTGGTCTCCGAGTGCATTCGGCATTAAAGGGTACATGCAAATTCTCATAACAGTTCTTAAATACTCTTAAAACAATGATCACATAATTTAATTTGTAGAATGATCCTAAACAATAATTCGACAAAATGCACAGAACACCTCACTTGCAGGTCAATAGACGGTCGGCCAAAACGAGCGTCTTTGTGTTAAATAAGAGACAACAAAGAACCTAGTAATTATCACTTATAGTTTGTTTTTTTAATATGACGCACAAAAGAGACAGTTGGCTTTGCCATCCCTTTTGAAACTAAGCAGGAATGTCATATTGAAATGGACTAGAAGTCGGTCTCCTCTAGCGGGGAACACCTTCGATATGTTTGAAACATAAGTCACAATGCGAGTTGAACCGCAACGCATCACGTTGTCCATATTCACTCGAAACACCTTGAACTTCGTCACAGTGCTCTGTCACTGGGTCGGGCCGCGGCTGTCGTCCACGTCCACGTTAACGTCCGGCGACGGCGACCTGGGCGGCGCGCCGTACTGGGGTCCCAGGTGGGGCTGTTGGTGGTGGTGGTGGTGGTCCTCTAGTGGCAGGACGGTCAGCCCGGGCGGCATCGCCATCCCCGTCGGGGTGATCCCGGACGGCATGCCCCACAGGGCGGGCTGCAGGGCGGCTGAGACGCCGGCCTGCAGCCGGGCGCTCTGTTAGGCAACCATCTGGGCGGGTGGCGGCGGCGGCGGCGCTGCGTGCGGCGCGTGCGCTGCGTGCGGGGGCGGTGCGAGCGGGGGCGGCGCGTGCGGGGGCGGCGCGTGCAGGTGGTGGTGGCCCTGGACCGCGGGCCTCTGCACCTGCTGCTGTTGCTGCTGCTGCTGCTGCTGCTGCTGCTGCTGCGTGACCTCGGTGTGCTGCGTCTCCTTGTGGCGCCGCAGGTCCACCTTGCGCTGGAAGGCGCGGCCGCACAGGTCACACGCGAACGGCTTGAAGCCCGTGTGCTTCCTGGAGTGGGTGATGAGGTTGGACGACTGGCTGAACGCTTTGCCGCACACCTGGCACTTGTGTGGTTTCTCGCCTGCAACACACGAACAGAAAAACAAATCGGTCAGATTCCACTTTGTGATGGTGAGCTTGTCTCGTTGTCGTGCGGAGAGAGAGCTCTCTTTTTTCCGCGGAAAGTGGAGCGAAAATTAACTGAGGAAAGCAACGACTGACAGCGGCGAAGGGCAAAAGCAGCGCGCGAAAACACTCCTCTGCTCGCTAAATACACCCCCGGCCCCCGAGCCCCTCGGAATGGCCCTTTACAAGCTACTTGCGACTCACTTTGCAAAGGAACACGCCCCGGCGCTGCCTCCGCCCCACCCCTCTGCCTGCCCCCGGCCGCCCCCCCCTTTCGCATAGAAATGCGTAATCTTGTCCTTTAGGGTGATTGCACATTAGAGCGGGGCCCAAGCGACGGCAGCGTGGCCCGGGAGGAGTCTGGTGTATAGGTATAGGGAGGGGCAGGTGGAGTAGTGACTCCTGAGAGGCCGATGCTGATGTGAACCGGGCTAGGCGCTCTCTCTCGCTCGCCATACTACCTTTTCTGCCTAGGGCAGCAGGTTCTTATCCCACCCGCGGACACCCGCACACCTGCCTGCTTTGCGGGGGCACTTGAAAAACGTGCGAAAACAAATTGCGTGCCGCACGACGGCGGCGCTCTGCCTGGCTGCCAGGCTTTACGAGGTGCTCGCGCGAAAATAGTGGAGTGCATTAGCGCCCCAGATTTGCACACAGTACAGCGTACAGCGCCGCGCGCCGGGCGTGAATTAAAACCATAGAACGTAACCAGGACAATTTATGAGCAGGCCTTGCTTTCCAATTAAAGCGCTGTCGGCAAGCAAGCAGCGCAGCGTGGCAGGGGGTGGAGCTGTGCCGCTGCTGCTGGAATGCGGCCGGTCGGGGGCTGGAGCCGGGGCTGGAGGCGCCGGAGGAGGAGGAGGAGGTTTGTAGCGGGCGGGAGCCTATAACACGCTGGAGGGTTAACTAGGACGAATAACGAGTTCTTGAACGAGCAGCAGCCGAGGAGAGCAGCGAGGATCACGAGCAGCACGAGCCCGACGAGGACCACGAGCAGCGTGAAGCGCCAAGGGGAAGATCGGATGGAAATAGCAAGTAAGTAAACGATGCGCAATAGAGAAAAATCAAACTCGCTTTACAGAATAGTTTTTTGGGGTATACACCCAAAAAAGGGGATGCTTGATTTGAGTACGGTACTTGACAAGTTGAGGCCCAGGACTTGGTTTAAGAATTTCTTTAGATCAAATTGAGTAAAATATTCTCAAAACAAGTACCTGTCCTCAACTTGTCAAGCACCGGAACTCAAATCAAGAATCCACTTTTCTGGGTGTAGAGTGTTCCATTTGGCAATATACTTAAGTTCCGAAATGTTCCAAAATTGAAAATATTGTGTTTTATGTTGTCTGCTAACAGGAGGTGCCGAGAAGAATCACGAGAAGATCGGAGAGAGAAGGACCCAGCCGATGGAACACACACTTCGGCCCGCATCGGCCGTACGAGTGCCTGGCCCGCAACCGAAGCAGGGAAAGCACGCGGGATTATGTCGGAACGCTTCAACTGGAACGACGGTTACACCAATGGCAGGTAAGTGGAGAAAACACTTGAAGGAAATGCTCTGAACACCCTTGCTCGCCAGTCGCTTTACTGTGTTCTTCACCGCCACCACCACCTGCGTGTGTTGAACACGGCCCTGCGCTGCGCACTCCCACTGATTCTCCGCGCTGCACAATCCCCTTGAAACACAGACCAGGGTGTCATAGCCGCGCCACGCCCCGCCACGCCCCGCCGTCGTCGTGCAATATTCCAGCGGTCCATTATCCTGGCCGGCCCTGGCCTGGGTGCGCATCTGGCGAGGGCGGGGTGTGTGGAGGAGCGGGGGGGTGGGTGGCGCGGAGCAGAGCAGCGCGCCGGCGTTAGGGCGTGTGATTTCCCGGGGTTGCGTCGTAAAAGAGAAAAGAATCTGCACAGCTTCCCAGGCGCGCCCCAGCAGCAGCAG